TAAATAAAAAAACCGAAGTCAGAATATATACAGTCGACCTCCCTATAACACTGTTGATTATTCCGTTTTATATGAATTCCATGTTGTACGAGTCACTTAGATTTTACAAATACGTGAGCCGTTCACAGCCCGGCACACGTATTTGTAAAATCGAAGTGACTCGTACAACATGGAATTCATATAACACGGAATTAACAAGTGTTATGGGGGGTCGACTGTATATCATTTTCTATCTCAAAAGTTTTAGGTATTACATATACAGTAGAGCGTCGTTTATCCGAATCAATTGGGACTGGGGTTGTTCGGATCTTATTTTCGGATAATCGATTATACACGAAAAAATATATTAACCTATCCCGTGTTGAAACTTTTCTCCGTTGCGTGTCGCTTCGCGTTGAATTTTCGTCGATGTTAAGCTTAACGTAAACTTTTTAAAATAATAATCGTGGCTATTGTATCGTTAAAAATGATTTCTTTATGTTTTACAAACGAAATAAATACATTGAAAAATATAAAAACAAAAATTATACTTTAGGCCGACTGGAATTATTTCGGATAAACGACGCTCTACTGTATTTATTTCATTATGACATTAATAGATAATTTGTTTTTGTTAAAAAAACAAGATGTTTCTTACTAATCCATTCAGTTCATTTCTAGCTTCTTCCAATTGCTTCTGATAGAATTCTTTTACATTATTTTGAAAATTTTCCAACAAAATCTATAAGAAAAATTGTTTTAGAAAATTATATATATTATACAAAATTATATATATTAGTATGTACTGTATAATGTATATTACATAATATACAGTCAAATTCCGTAGTTTCGTTATCGGTTTATGCAAAGTAGATTTGCGGTTCCGTGGTCAAGGATAGGCATTTCAATGTTCAGGACTTAAGATTGTTTTTTTACTCTTTCGCCCTCTGGGCACTAGCCCAGAGGGCGAAAGAGTAAAAAAACAATGGGCCTTTTAATCAAGCCCATGACTGAAACCCATGGGTTCAGTCAGACCCACGATGGGAACAGCCAGAATGCGAGAGGAGAGGCCCAATTAAAAAATGTATCTTGAAAGAATACCCATTAAAAATTCTTTGGCTTTTTCACTTGCTCAAATTTGATCTCGGGTCCCCAGTTATTGGTCGAGCGAATAAAACCACTGAACACTAATATTGGTTGTAGGTTTGCGCCTCACCAACGGCTGACCACATGAAAGTTTTCCGGATTTTCTTCACGTGTCTTACATCTATGTAGAACCCAGTTTCCCATAGAAAGTCTTCCCGAGAAGCATCATGTTGACAGATCGCCCTCGTGTTGTGTTGTCTTGTTCCATCAATAACCGTTTTATCTAAACTCTAATGTCTGGGACAGATTTGATAAAATGAGGAGAGGCAAGGGAGAGAGCAGGGGGTCAAATTACAAAATTTTCTCTACAAAAGAAAATTTTGTAATTGTTTTGTAAACCGAACCCCCGATCAACTTACTACCAATGTTCAGTGGTTTTATCCACTCGTCCACTTGGCTACTCGGCCGTCAGGAGTAAGGAGATTGGGAAAGTACTGTTATGGCTTTGTTGGTCAGATAACTTATTTGCGTACCAGGAAGGATTAATAGAAGTCAATATAGAAGCTATAGCAACTGAAGTCCTTAATGAAACTTAATAAAATTGATTATTTGAAAGCTTTCCCTTCTAAAAAAATCTTAAAATTCAATTTCAAGATCATCGCAATGGAGGAAATTTGACAGACTGTATTTTATTGGAAAATACCATAAAATTAAGTTACATCTTAGGCGTTTTATATACTATAAATTCAATGTTTTAAAAATAATGTAAATAATCGAAATTCGATAATTACATGATCTGGATGCAACGAAGCAAACTCGTTCGGCATTGTCATTGCTGGTAAATCTCCAGCTCCTTTCATTTTTTCAAATATATTCATTGTATTCTTCGACTTCCAATTTCATAAATATAAAATAAAGTTTATTAGATATCGTTCGTTATTTTTGCAAACTATATATAACTTTTATTTACGATCTTTATTTGAATTAAGAATTTTCTTGTTAACAGATTTTTACTGTTCAAAAATATCTGTTAACAAGAAGATACGTATACAATAATGAATACGTTTTACTTTTAAAATAAATTCATAGGCGAATTAAGACCTGGGTCCTTGGCATAGAAGATTAGGGTCCTTCTACATAACTTTACGACATCATAAACTAATGATTTATTTAAAAGAGTTGTTTATAAATCATGATATACAGTTACTTTATTTTTTTCATGATTTCGGGATCCTAGGTATGCTCCTCGCGTGCCTAGCAAGAAATCTAAATTCTGTCATGGATGAAAAATGTACATGTCTCTGAGTAACATTGTAGATATAATACTAATTATAACTTATAACCCGTCGAGAGGGGGAGAGCTGAGGATTTTTCTCCAGGCTCGGAGAAAAATTTAGGTGGTCATAGTGATTGCTATCCATATAAACTAGTGTTATTTTTACTAACAGAAAATAAAATATTTATTAATAAAGAAACATTTTACGTATTTTATTTGTTCAAAAACAAAATGGCAAAAGCGGCCTGGTCTATCTTGACCCCATACAAGCTCAAACACGGAGCAATTAAAATAATAAAAAATAAAAACAAAAAGTCACGGTAGAATATCATCTGCATGAATTCGATTTTAACTTACTTTTAGATTTAAAATTAAACGATTATAGTACTAGGACTAACCAATAGATGTAATGTACAGTATATTCAGAGTATTAGTAGAACAAAAACTAAGTAGCAATAAATAAACTATAAATGCGTGTAAATTGATCATTTTTTAATTTTAATTTACTGAATGAGAGGCTAATAACAGGCTACTAAATATTATTAAAACCTAAGTACTGTATTATTAAAAAATACATATTTAATCGAATAAAACGTTTTTATTTGATATTTAAATATCAAAATAAAAACGTTTTATTCGATTAAATTATTATTCTTCCTTCAGTACAGATATTTTTGAATACCACAAAAATTTTTCTTCCCTCTAACTTAAATTGAAAATAATCTTATTTTAAGATTTTAAATAGTATAAATTAATAATTAAAGACAGTATATGCTCTCCACCTCAAATTAGTACTGTAGTGTACATCATACTTTTCCTTTAGCAATAAAGTCGTGCAGCTCATTTATTAACTGCTTTCAGGGGAAGTTCTGAATTGAAATAATGTGACTTCATATATAGTTAATCGAAGCTTCCAGTGCCTACGATTTCCTGGTCTCGATTTTCATATATCTAACTCGAGATTAAGGAAGAACACACACACAGACGACAGTAGGAATTTATAGGTCTGCAATTTTTTTCAAATTGCAACCCAAAAAATAAAAATTTGATTGTACAGTACTTGTCTTACCTTTCGTTCCAAGTTAACTGCAAAGTTCGTATTCGAAAAAAGCACTTTCGAATTTTTTTCCGTTTAAAACCGAAATTATGTTTATTCGAATAATTTTTAAATTTATATTTTAGAAGCGTGGCTTAAATATTCTTGAAATAATTTTTTAAAATGTCGCTATATAATTTTTATATGTACATAATATTTTCTAAATTAATGTAATTACAGTATTAATATCAATACAGAATACAAAAGTGTTTAGACTATATTAGTTTAGTTTTATTGATTAAAGCCTAGCCTCGAAAAGTCCGGCGTTTAAATATTTGGTTATTAAAACTCGGACTTAGTTATTATATACCGGGTGTAACTGAACTCTGTGCCAATATTTCAGGGAAAGAGTCATTCGTTCACACAATTCGCAGTTTTCAAGAGATCAGCCGCACTTATTTGATTCGATAGTAGGTATGTAAACGCAGAAAGTATTATTATTAATTTACTTAAGATATTTTCTCGCGGTCGAAAAGGAAATTTTATTTGCAGTTATTTAGTAGTAAAAACTTTTATTACACCGTTTACGGCAGATTGTCTTGATGAAGATGGCATCTGTGCCCGAGGTTTGCAGAATGTAGGCTATATATCTCATTCAAGCTGCTAATTTTCGGAGGCCCCAAGCGCGCGCTTCTTGTGCCTATACTACGATGATCGCTGCTGCAAAGATGGACGATGTCACATATTAAAACATGATAGGCTTACTTTATACGTTTAAGATAATAGGACAAGGTAATACCTCTATTACTTTATGTTTTGATATAATGTATTGATTATATCAAATAAAAATTATTTAAAGCGTTGTTCTTCGCTCGTTTTGTATTCATTTTCCAGAAATAGTCCAGAACTCACAAAGAGGTGGCGGCTGTATCATGAGTTCTGCCCAACGAGCTATAATATACTACATAGAATAATGCCATGTTTACAGAAAATTGAATACACGTCCGCCATTTTCTTTTTAGTCAAGGAGACGTGCCATTTGTGCTGTGTAAAGGCAACGATTATATTCTAACTCGTTGTGTAAGTGTGAAAAGAAAAGGAAAACTTAACACTTAACTGAGATGGTGCGAATCAAAATGAATCTACTTAGTTATTTTGTTTTAAAAGTAAATAACAAGATATTTTTTTCTTTAACCCTTTATTTAAACGTTTCTAAACAAGACAAGATATTCTGTATGGATAAGTTAAATACATTTCTAAGCATTCTTAATTTTACTTTCCTGGTTGTTATGTATACATTACAAGTATTGGAATCGTGTCAAATTTGACCCTCAGAGATTTTGCAAATCTCCACGTTTTGAGACTATGAACCCAAAAAAGTTAAAAAGAAAAAAATATTTCGCTTATGTGGGTGTTGAAGTCTATAAGAAACGAGATTTGGCAGGGTGATGTGTATAAGGAGCATTGATACTATTAAATTTTAGTGATTAAAGGATGAAGGGGTGGGTAGATAGAGGGATGTCGTGTGTTCCAGACAGGTCGGACTTAATGATGTTATTCGTTATTAACGTTTACAATTTTTGTTGTAATAAAATTCATCACTAGCCTCAAAGTTAAGCTTTTTGCCATTCGATAATGATTAGAAATATAAAAAGTTATTTTTTAAAATAAAATCTCACAACAGCCGGGAAAGTTAAGCAACTCACTATTGGATTTTTCACAAGCTGCTAGATTTAAAATATGGTTGTTTTAAGTTTCTTTTTTTTTTTTTAAGAAAGCTATGTTAATATTTCTTACCGGCAACATATTTTAATAAAATTAGTTCTAGACGTGTGTAAATGACAACGAATAAAAGGTTAGTTCATGTTAATATACTTTTGTTATCTAGAATTATGCATATCATGCATAATTTGTAGGCCTACACATCCTAATGGTGCAGTTTCTACATATCAGTCTCTTGCACTTAATGGCATGTTTTTTTTTTTGTCTATTTTTGATAGGCAAATGCAACACTTCTTCCATTTCCCACAATTATTAGCTCCCAATTTCCTTTTAGAAGGATTTTAACTTCAACGTGGTTCATAACACGACAAAAGTCAAAATATAGTTTTCATTGTAAATATTTTCACAAGTTGAAATCAAAATTTTCCCAAACAAACTATAATTATAATAAAAACACAAGACCACTACTTACATTCTGCAAAAGAAAACAAAACAGTCCGAAAAAAATCAACACCACACAGCATGGCACCAATCAGATTAACCTGAGTATACTATAAATAAACAATCATATGGCTGAGAGTAAAGCCTTTCAAGACCTGCCACAGATTATAAAAACATTGTTATATTGAGGGTTAAGAACTATACTTACCACTTTAAACTCTGATCTTATCTTCTTTATAATGAAATAAAATCTAGAAAATAACTAAATTTGAGATGAAACAATCTAGATTTAGATGAGAAAAACATTCCAATGTGACAATCCTGCCCAACACCTGGTACAGACTTCAATGTTTTGACTTAAAGTAAAATAGCAGTCAATAGTACTTGTCATTGCCACTAAGAGTGCTGTATCTAAGGCCACAGCCACTCTATATAGTATATACTAGTTTATTGATTCTGCCCCAACCCACTATTATAACAATCTGTCAGTAGTTAGTTCATTCATGTTCCTCAAACTGGAGAAGTCATTGCTTCAAAATTGTATCAAACAATAAATTATTCCTTAATACTTTAACCTGTTAGGGTATTATTCTGTTATCTTGGATATCCTGATTCGATTTTGCAGTGCAGTACGAGATTTGCTCGTTACTTTGGAAACATTCATCTATAGGCCAGCATGGGACATGATCCAAATTTCAATACGATGAATAATTTAGTTATTTTTGAAGAGTTAAAACTAAGTTCTGAGAGAGTAAGATTTATTGAAGATAACTAGAGCAATATTTATGAATATAGTAATTTTAGTTAAAAGTAAATGACAACAAAACATGGGCACAATGAAATTTATTAAATGAATAAATCTTATACAGGTTTTGTGAATAAACAATTCCAAATTTGAGATTTTCATGTTTTTGTAAATCATCTTGATAAATTAAAATTGACATAAATATTACAATTTTTATCTAAAATATTGCATTTTCAGAACACATCTGATTATACATTCAGCATTATTATTATTAATTATTATTATTCAATATTTTTTATTAAGTACTGTCAATTTATTTCTAACAAATGAGTATTTTTACTTGTTAAAATATTTATCAATATAAAAAAAGAATCAACGATTAAAACTGGATAATCATGAAAATTCTTGATATTTACATTTTATCTTTTACTTTTTTTTACATTTCTCTTTTGTGAAATATTATTCAAAATGTCTATTTAATTTCCCAAAATTTAAATCTTCAAGATTTATTTTAATCAAAATAAAAACTTAAGATGAAGCATTTGCTTCTGTTAAATAACACAAATAACATTAACACAGTTATTTATTCTGAATATTAATAAAGAAATGAAATTTATTATTATAAAATTATCAAAACATAAAATTCAATCTTTCTGACCTTTTAAATTTACAAATAATTGAGTTTTTATGTTTGCATTTTCATAAGGTTCATTAAATTTAAATATTAAAAGTTCTTAATTTCTATGTACAGGGAGTAATACAGCTTAAAAAAATCTGATTGCATATCAAGCTAATGCATTAAAATATAAATTGACTGCATATTATACAGGGTGTTCAAAAAGTTTCTCTGCAGTGGGTATTGTAGGTTATACTGAACCAAGACACCATGCACATGCAAACATCAATTAAACTGCCTATATGCCAGCTGTGGAATAGTGGAGCAGACACAATGCCTCCTAGTGTATAAGTATCACCCAAAACCAATTAACAAGCTGAAAGGAGTGACCACAACCTACAATACCTTCTGTGGAGAGACTTTTTATACATCCTGTATAAAGTATATCAATACTGCAAAAGTAACATTATTCTCAAATATATTTTTTAATTTTTAGTATTTAAATATACATGTATGTATATAATAAAGATTTGATTTATATACTGATATTAACTTAATAATTGCAATTTTTAGAATTGATTTTTGCATTGCACTTTTTAAACTCTGTTTCAACTATACCACCATATCCAATGTATATATAAATATATATATATATTTTTTAATTTTTACTTTTTTATTCAAAATATTTATACTTAAATTTTACAAACTCAGTACGAAAAAAGTCATAATAAGGAATATTTATAATGAAATATTCTAAATATAAAATGCTTCAGCTGATTTTTAAAAAGTTTTTTTTAACAGTTTATATAGAAAAAACAACTAAAAGGATTTAATTACAAAAAATCAGTTTTATGTAAATTCATTATCAAAGAAACAAATATAAACTTATATTTTTTAATAAAAAACACTTAATAAAGTGTTTTATTTGAAGACCATGATAAACATATGACATTATATAAAGCAATGCAATTAGACATACAAAGACAGTTAAATAAAAATGATGTTATCAAACTTAAATTTGATAATTTATTAATGTATATTTTAAGAATATGTATTAATGAAAAACAGGATTAAGAAAAAGATATATAGATTTTCTTAATAAAGAAATATTTTTTCGAAAATTATATAATTAACACAAGATTCACATGAAAATTGATAGAAGATAATGTTCTTGAATAAAAAGACTTGACTTTGTTTAATATATTCAAGAACACAATGAACGGAGATTTGGATTAGTATATTGTGAATTTCAAAATCTTTTATAAGGAAGACAAATAACTGGGATTAATGATAATATAAAATACACCTGTAAATACAATATCAAGAATTAGCAAATGCAACTTCTCAATACATTGTATATCTAAAAGTATAAATCAATTCATTGATTTCCAAAACAGTTATTAAAAAAACATTTACTTACTACAATAATATTAGGCGTATTTAGAATCTTCTAGAAGTATAACAGAAATACAAGTATAGTTTTTCAAACATTAATTTTGAATACATTAATTCAATCAAAATAATATTACAAGGGAAGACATTTTATAATTGCATGATTAATTACAAATTATATGTTGTCTGTATAATGATAATAAATGGCAATTAAAACTAATGATAAATATTTGGAATGGCCATAACATCATATTATTATTATTTCAATAATAAAACTTTCTTCAACATCTATAATCTCTGAAATGCATACGAACATATCTTAACTGTAAATTCTCACATCGTCATAGAAGTTGTGCATTAAATTACGGTATGGACAAGGATAGGAAACATTCATGATGTGCATCAATTTTGAGATGGATGACAGTTAAAAAAATAACACTTTGATTCTAAGCTTTTATATGAAAACTTTAGGGTGAATTTGTGGTATAATTTGTAGAAAGTAAAAGCTTTCTACAGAATGTTAAATGGACCACTTCTTAAAACTAAATATTTTGGCATACTTCATTGTCTTTGAATAGAAAATTCAAATATATGTTGCCTGAAAAATTCCACAAATATGCTGCTTGAAAAATTCTAGATGATCTGCATTACCTTTGATGCACCCACATTTATCTTAAGAAAAACATTTTTCAATTGCAGCAGATATAATGTCATATAGTATTATTCTTTTTTTGTCTTACATCTCAAGTCAATCTGCTGGCACTTTTTTTAAAGAGAAGCAGTATATTTTAAAATGACGACACATTTGACGCACCTATACAGGAATGATAAAAATGTAAATTAATTACTGTAATTCAATTTTTTATAAATACTTTTACTTAAAGTTAAAATTTGTTTTCTATATGCAAATCAATATAATAAGAATCTCAAATTATGAATAAAACAAGTAATAAATTCTCTATTTCTTAATTTTAACACAATCATCAGTACAAAAAACACAAAGTAATACAATTAGGACAGATAATTATAACAACTTGTCTAATGATTCTCAGTTTAAATCTTAAGCTGCTAATTTAAATAACAAAGGGAATATGTCACAAGAAATACTCATAACTGTCATTTTATAAGAATTTAAATTAAAAATGGCCTAATTATTAAATTTAATTTAATTAAGAATTTAGATATACAGTCTATAGCAACATTTAACAGAACAAGAAAAAATATTGGATAGAGATTAATTGTTATAATGAGAGATGTTAAAAAAGTATGTATAAAGTTTTAACCTTACAAAGCTAGACAACATTAGAAAAACATATAGTATTATTAGTCTCCACTAGTATAAGATTTAAGTAATTTTACTGCATATTATTTCTATAATATACAGTATATTAAACATCAAAATCCTTACTCAATCAGAATCTGAATCTTTCNAGAATTCTTTTACATTATTTTGAAAATTTTCCAACAAAATCTATAAGAAAAATTGTTTTAGAAAATTATATATATTATACAAAATTATATATATTAGTATGTACTGTATAATGTATATTACATAATATACAGTCAAATTCCGTAGTTTCGTTATCGGTTTATGCAAAGTAGATTTGCGGTTCCGTGGTCAAGGATAGGCATTTCAATGTTCAGGACTTAAGATTGTTTTTTTACTCTTTCGCCCTCTGGGCACTAGCCCAGAGGGCGAAAGAGTAAAAAAACAATGGGCCTTTTAATCAAGCCCATGACTGAAACCCATGGGTTCAGTCAGACCCACGATGGGAACAGCCAGAATGCGAGAGGAGAGGCCCAATTAAAAAATGTATCTTGAAAGAATACCCATTAAAAATTCTTTGGCTTTTTCACTTGCTCAAATTTGATCTCGGGTCCCCAGTTATTGGTCGAGCGAATAAAACCACTGAACACTAATATTGGTTGTAGGTTTGCGCCTCACCAACGGCTGACCACATGAAAGTTTTCCGGATTTTCTTCACGTGTCTTACATCTATGTAGAACCCAGTTTCCCATAGAAAGTCTTCCCGAGAAGCATCATGTTGACAGATCGCCCTCGTGTTGTGTTGTCTTGTTCCATCAATAACCGTTTTATCTAAACTCTAATGTCTGGGACAGATTTGATAAAATGAGGAGAGGCAAGGGAGAGAGCAGGGGGTCAAATTACAAAATTTTCTCTACAAAAGAAAATTTTGTAATTGTTTTGTAAACCGAACCCCCGATCAACTTACTACCAATGTTCAGTGGTTTTATCCACTCGTCCACTTGGCTACTCGGCCGTCAGGAGTAAGGAGATTGGGAAAGTACTGTTATGGCTTTGTTGGTCAGATAACTTATTTGCGTACCAGGAAGGATTAATAGAAGTCAATATAGAAGCTATAGCAACTGAAGTCCTTAATGAAACTTAATAAAATTGATTATTTGAAAGCTTTCCCTTCTAAAAAAATCTTAAAATTCAATTTCAAGATCATCGCAATGGAGGAAATTTGACAGACTGTATTTTATTGGAAAATACCATAAAATTAAGTTACATCTTAGGCGTTTTATATACTATAAATTCAATGTTTTAAAAATAATGTAAATAATCGAAATTCGATAATTACATGATCTGGATGCAACGAAGCAAACTCGTTCGGCATTGTCATTGCTGGTAAATCTCCAGCTCCTTTCATTTTTTCAAATATATTCATTGTATTCTTCGACTTCCAATTTCATAAATATAAAATAAAGTTTATTAGATATCGTTCGTTATTTTTGCAAACTATATATAACTTTTATTTACGATCTTTATTTGAATTAAGAATTTTCTTGTTAACAGATTTTTACTGTTCAAAAATATCTGTTAACAAGAAGATACGTATACAATAATGAATACGTTTTACTTTTAAAATAAATTCATAGGCGAATTAAGACCTGGGTCCTTGGCATAGAAGATTAGGGTCCTTCTACATAACTTTACGACATCATAAACTAATGATTTATTTAAAAGAGTTGTTTATAAATCATGATATACAGTTACTTTATTTTTTTCATGATTTCGGGATCCTAGGTATGCTCCTCGCGTGCCTAGCAAGAAATCTAAATTCTGTCATGGATGAAAAATGTACATGTCTCTGAGTAACATTGTAGATATAATACTAATTATAACTTATAACCCGTCGAGAGGGGGAGAGCTGAGGATTTTTCTCCAGGCTCGGAGAAAAATTTAGGTGGTCATAGTGATTGCTATCCATATAAACTAGTGTTATTTTTACTAACAGAAAATAAAATATTTATTAATAAAGAAACATTTTACGTATTTTATTTGTTCAAAAACAAAATGGCAAAAGCGGCCTGGTCTATCTTGACCCCATACAAGCTCAAACACGGAGCAATTAAAATAATAAAAAATAAAAACAAAAAGTCACGGTAGAATATCATCTGCATGAATTCGATTTTAACTTACTTTTAGATTTAAAATTAAACGATTATAGTACTAGGACTAACCAATAGATGTAATGTACAGTATATTCAGAGTATTAGTAGAACAAAAACTAAGTAGCAATAAATAAACTATAAATGCGTGTAAATTGATCATTTTTTAATTTTAATTTACTGAATGAGAGGCTAATAACAGGCTACTAAATATTATTAAAACCTAAGTACTGTATTATTAAAAAATACATATTTAATCGAATAAAACGTTTTTATTTGATATTTAAATATCAAAATAAAAACGTTTTATTCGATTAAATTATTATTCTTCCTTCAGTACAGATATTTTTGAATACCACAAAAATTTTTCTTCCCTCTAACTTAAATTGAAAATAATCTTATTTTAAGATTTTAAATAGTATAAATTAATAATTAAAGACAGTATATGCTCTCCACCTCAAATTAGTACTGTAGTGTACATCATACTTTTCCTTTAGCAATAAAGTCGTGCAGGTCATTTATTAACTGCTTTCAGGGGAAGTTCTGAATTGAAATAATGTGACTTCATATATAGTTAATCGAAGCTTCCAGTGCCTACGATTTCCTGGTCTCGATTTTCATATATCTAACTCGAGATTAAGGAAGAACACACACACAGACGACAGTAGGAATTTATAGGTCTGCAATTTTTTTCAAATTGCAACCCAAAAAATAAAAATTTGATTGTACAGTACTTGTCTTACCTTTCGTTCCAAGTTAACTGCAAAGTTCGTATTCGAAAAAAGCACTTTCGAATTTTTTTCCGTTTAAAACCGAAATTATGTTTATTCGAATAATTTTTAAATTTATATTTTAGAAGCGTGGCTTAAATATTCTTGAAATAATTTTTTAAAATGTCGCTATATAATTTTTATATGTACATAATATTTTCTAAATTAATGTAATTACAGTATTAATATCAATACAGAATACAAAAGTGTTTAGATTATATTAGTTTAGTTTTATTGATTAAAGCCTAGCCTCGAAAAGTCCGGCGTTTAAATATTTGGTTATTAAAACTCGGACTTAGTTATTATATACCGGGTGTAACTGAACTCTGTGCCAATATTTCAGGGAAAGAGTCATTCGTTCACACAATTCGCAGTTTTCAAGAGATCAGCCGCACTTATTTGATTCGATAGTAGGTATGTAAACGCAGAAAGTATTATTATTAATTTACTTAAGATATTTTCTCGCGGTCGAAAAGGAAATTTTATTTGCAGTTATTTAGTAGTAAAAACTTTTATTACACCGTTTACGGCAGATTGTCTTGATGAAGATGGCATCTGTGCCCGAGGTTTGCAGAATGTAGGCTATATATCTCATTCAAGCTGCTAATTTTCGGAGGCCCCAAGCGCGCGCTTCTTGTGCCTATACTACGATGATCGCTGCTGCAAAGATGGACGATGTCACATATTAAAACATGATAGGCTTACTTTATACGTTTAAGATAATAGGACAAGGTAATACCTCTATTACTTTATGTTTTGATATAATGTATTGATTATATCAAATAAAAATTATTTAAAGCGTTGTTCTTCGCTCGTTTTGTATTCATTTTCCAGAAATAGTCCAGAACTCACAAAGAGGTGGCGGCTGTATCATGAGTTCTGCCCAACGAGCTATAATATACTACATAGAATAATGCCATGTTTACAGAAAATTGAATACACGTCCGCCATTTTCTTTTTAGTCAAGGAGACGTGCCATTTGTGCTGTGTAAAGGCAACGATTATATTCTAACTCGTTGTGTAAGTGTGAAAAGAAAAGGAAAACTTAACACTTAACTGAGATGGTGCGAATCAAAATGAATCTACTTAGTTATTTTGTTTTAAAAGTAAATAACAAGATATTTTTTTCTTTAACCCTTTATTTAAACGTTTCTAAACAAGACAAGATATTCTGTATGGATAAGTTAAATACATTTCTAAGCATTCTTAATTTTACTTTCCTGGTTGTTATGTATACATTACAAGTATTGGAATCGTGTCAAATTTGACCCTCAGAGATTTTGCAAATCTCCACGTTTTGAGACTATGAACCCAAAAAAGTTAAAAAGAAAAAAATATTTCGCTTATGTGGGTGTTGAAGTCTATAAGAAACGAGATTTGGCAGGGTGATGTGTATAAGGAGCATTGATACTATTAAATTTTAGTGATTAAAGGATGAAGGGGTGGGTAGATAGAGGGATGTCGTGTGTTCCAGACAGGTCGGACTTAATGATGTTATTCGTTATTAACGTTTACAATTTTTGTTGTAATAAAATTCATCACTAGCCTCAAAGTTAAGCTTTTTGCCATTCGATAATGATTAGAAATATAAAAAGTTATTTTTTAAAATAAAATCTCACAACAGCCGGGAAAGTTAAGCAACTCACTATTGGATTTTTCACAAGCTGCTAGATTTAAAATATGGTTGTTTTAAGTTTCTTTTTTTTTTTTTAAGAAAGCTATGTTAATATTTCTTACCGGCAACATATTTTAATAAAATTAGTTCTAGACGTGTGTAAATGACAACGAATAAAAGGTTAGTTCATGTTAATATACTTTTGTTATCTAGAATTATGCATATCATGCATAATTTGTAGGCCTACACATCCTAATGGTGCAGTTTCTACATATCAGTCTCTTGCACTTAATGGCATGTTTTTTTTTTTGTCTATTTTTGATAGGCAAATGCAACACTTCTTCCATTTCCCACAATTATTAGCTCCCAATTTCCTTTTAGAAGGATTTTAACTTCAACGTGGTTCATAACACGACAAAAGTCAAAATATAGTTTTCATTGTAAATATTTTCACAAGTTGAAATCAAAATTTTCCCAAACAAACTATAATTATAATAAAAACACAAGACCACTACTTACATTCTGCAAAAGAAAACAAAACAGTCCGAAAAAAATCAACACCACACAGCATGGCACCAATCAGATTAACCTGAGTATACTATAAATAAACAATCATATGGCTGAGAGTAAAGCCTTTCAAGACCTGCCACAGATTATAAAAACATTGTTATATTGAGGGTTAAGAACTATACTTACCACTTTAAACTCTGATCTTATCTTCTTTATAATGAAATAAAATCTAGAAAATAACTAAATTTGAGATGAAACAATCTAGATTTAGATGAGAAAAACATTCCAATGTGACAATCCTGCCCAACACCTGGTACAGACTTCAATGTTTTGACTTAAAGTAAAATAGCAGTCAATAGTACTTGTCATTGCCACTAAGAGTGCTGTATCTAAGGCCACAGCCACTCTATATAGTATATACTAGTTTATTGATTCTGCCCCAACCCACTATTATAACAATCTGTCAGTAGTTAGTTCATTCATGTTCCTCAAACTGGAGAAGTCATTGCTTCAAAATTGTATCAAACAATAAATTATTCCTTAATACTTTAACCTGTTAGGGTATTATTCTGTTATCTTGGATATCCTGATTCGATTTTGCAGTGCAGTACGAGATTTGCTCGTTACTTTGGAAACATTCATCTATAGGCCAGCATGGGACATGATCCAAATTTCAATACGATGAATAATTTAGTTATTTTTGAAGAGTTAAAACTAAGTTCTGAGAGAGTAAGATTTATTGAAGATAACTAGAGCAATATTTATGAATATAGTAATTTTAGTTAAAAGTAAATGACAACAAAACATGGGCACAATGAAATTTATTAAATGAATAAATCTTATACAGGTTTTGTGAATAAACAATTCCAAATTTGAGATTTTCATGTTTTTGTAAATCATCTTGATAAATTAAAATTGACATAAATATTACAATTTTTATCTAAAATATTGCATTTTCAGAACACATCTGATTATACATTCAGCATTATTATTATTAATTATTATTATTCAATATTTTTTATTAAGTACTGTCAATTTATTTCTAACAAATGAGTATTTTTACTTGTTAAAATATTTATCAATATAAAAAAAGAATCAACGATTAAAACTGGATAATCATGAAAATTCTTGATATTTACATTTTATCTTTTACTTTTTTTTACATTTCTCTTTTGTGAAATATTATTCAAAATGTCTATTTAATTTCCCAAAATTTAAATCTTCAAGATTTATTTTAATCAAAATAAAAACTTAAGATGAAGCATTTGCTTCTGTTAAATAACACAAATAACATTAACACAGTTATTTATTCTGAATATTAATAAAGAAATGAAATTTATTATTATAAAATTATCAAAACATAAAATTCAATCTTTCTGACCTTTTAAATTTACAAATAATTGAGTTTTTATGTTTGCATTTTCATAAGGTTCATTAAATTTAAATATTAAAAGTTCTTAATTTCTATGTACAGGGAGTAATACAGCTTAAAAAAATCTGATTGCATATCAAGCTAATGCATTAAAATATAAATTGACTGCATATTATACAGGGTGTTCAAAAAGTTTCTCTGCAGTGGGTATTGTAGGTTATACTGAACCAAGACACCATGCACATGCAAACATCAATTAAACTGCCTATATGCCAGCTGTGGAATAGTGGAGCAGACACAATGCCTCCTAGTGTATAAGTATCACCCAAAACCAATTAACAAGCTGAAAGGAGTGACCACAACCTACAATACCTTCTGTGGAGAGACTTTTTATACATCCTGTATAAAGTATATCAATACTGCAAAAGTAACATTATTCTCAAATATATTTTTTAATTTTTAGTATTTAAATATACATGTATGTATATAATAAAGATTTGATTTATATACTGATATTAACTTAATAATTGCAATTTTTAGAATTGATTTTTGCATTGCACTTTTTAAACTCTGTTTCAACTATACCACCATATCCAATGTATATATAAATATATATATATATTTTTTAATTTTTACTTTTTTATTCAAAATATTTATACTTAAATTTTACAAACTCAGTACGAAAAAAGTCATAATAAGGAATATTTATAATGAAATATTCTAAATATAAAATGCTTCAGCTGATTTTTAAAAAGTTTTTTTTAACAGTTTATATAGAAAAAACAACTAAAAGGATTTAATTACAAAAAATCAGTTTTATGTAAATTCATTATCAAAGAAACAAATATAAACTTATATTTTTTAATAAAAAACACTTAATAAAGTGTTTTATTTGAAGACCATGATAAACATATGACATTATATAAAGCAATGCAATTAGACATACAAAGACAGTTAAATAAAAATGATGTTATCAAACTTAAATTTGATAATTTATTAATGTATATTTTAAGAATATGTATTAATGAAAAACAGGATTAAGAAAAAGATATATAGATTTTCTTAATAAAGAAATATTTTTTCGAAAATTATATAATTAACACAAGATTCACATGAAAATTGATAGAAGATAATGTTCTTGAATAAAAAGACTTGACTTTGTTTAATATATTCAAGAACACAATGAACGGAGATTTGGATTAGTATATTGTGAATTTCAAAATCTTTTATAAGGAAGACAAATAACTGGGATTAATGATAATATAAAATACACCTGTAAATACAATATCAAGAATTAGCAAATGCAACTTCTCAATACATTGTATATCTAAAAGTATAAATCAATTCATTGATTTCCAAAACAGTTATTAAAAAAACATTTACTTACTACAATAATATTAGGCGTATTTAGAATCTTCTAGAAGTATAACAGAAATACAAGTATAGTTTTTCAAACATTAATTTTGAATACATTAATTCAATCAAAATAATATTACAAGGGAAGACATTTTATAATTGCATGATTAATTACAAATTATATGTTGTCTGTATAATGATAATAAATGGCAATTAAAACTAATGATAAATATTTGGAATGGCCATAACATCATATTATTATTATTTCAATAATAAAACTTTCTTCAACATCTATAATCTCTGAAATGCATACGAACATATCTTAACTGTAAATTCTCACATCGTCATAGAAGTTGTGCATTAAATTACGGTATGGACAAGGATAGGAAACATTCATGATGTGCATCAATTTTGAGATGGATGACAGTTAAAAAAATAACACTTTGATTCTAAGCTTTTATATGAAAACTTTAGGGTGAATTTGTGGTATAATTTGTAGAAAGTAAAAGCTTTCTACAGAATGTTAAATGGACCACTTCTTAAAACTAAATATTTTGGCATACTTCATTGTCTTTGAATAGAAAATTCAAATATATGTTGCCTGAAAAATTCCACAAATATGCTGCTTGAAAAATTCTAGATGATCTGCATTACCTTTGATGCACCCACATTTATCTTAAGAAAAACATTTTTCAATTGCAGCAGATATAATGTCATATAGTATTATTCTTTTTTTGTCTTACATCTCAAGTCAATCTGCTGGCACTTTTTTTAAAGAGAAGCAGTATATTTTAAAATGACGACACATTTGACGCACCTATACAGGAATGATAAAAATGTAAATTAATTACTGTAATTCAATTTTTTATAAATACTTTTACTTAAAGTTAAAATTTGTTTTCTATATGCAAATCAATATAATAAGAATCTCAAATTATGAATAAAACAAGTAATAAATTCTCTATTTCTTAATTTTAACACAATCATCAGTACAAAAAACACAAAGTAATACAATTAGGACAGATAATTATAACAACTTGTCTAATGATTCTCAGTTTAATCTTAAGCTGCTAATTTAAATAACAAAGGGAATATGTCACAAGAAATACTCATAACTGTCATTTTATAAGAATTTAAATTAAAAATGGCCTAATTATTAAATTTAATTTAATTAAGAATTTAGATATACAGTCTATAGCAACATTTAACAGAACAAGAAAAAATATTGGATAGAGATTAATTGTTATAATGAGAGATGTTAAAAAAGTATGTATAAAGTTTTAACCTTACAAAGCTAGACAACATTAGAAAAACATATAGTATTATTAGTCTCCACTAGTATAAGATTTAAGTAATTTTACTGCATATTATTTCTATAATATACAGTATATTAAACATCAAAATCCTTACTCAATCAGAATCTGAATCTTTCCAGGCAAAAATGAATTAAGTAAAACTAAAAGTACTTTCCATACTTAAACTGATTATCTATATATATATATAAAAATGGATATGTATGTCCCTATATTTCACTTTTCCGCCAAAACTACACATCGCACGTGAATGGTGTTTATATGTGGTGGTAGCCCCAAGTCTCCATTCGTGCATAGGGGTGGTTGCGTCTCGATAGCTATAAGGGTGCGGGAGATATGAGGCTGAAAGTGGTTGAAAGTGGCTTTCTATTTCGAATGTTTTGTTCGAATTTGTTCGAATTAAATTCGAACATAAAATTCGAATATTGGTTCGATTATAGAACGATTGTAAACGTTCCAGAAACGTTGAAAATAGTTCGTTTGACTTGACGTGAACAGGAGACGTTCAGAAATAGAATCGGGACCAGATCTCTAATCAGAAATGGGGGACCTAATTCTTGCATTCTGTGAAAACGGGTAAGATTGGCTATAATGTAATTATCTTAATCTTCACTATCGTTACTTTTTAAAAACCCAGCGAAGCGGGTCCTTGCAGCTAGTAAAATATAATTTCTTAAGGAGAATGTTTTTCATAATTATTTTGATAAATGTAATTTGCAACACTAAGACATCCCTGTATACTTTCTAAGAGAACTTTATATATTAAATGAGTTTAGCATAAAATTCCCTAGAAATTATACAAGGATGTTGTGTTATTGCAAATTACACTAATTCTAAAAGTATACAAGGATGTTGTGTTATTGCAAATTACACTAATTCTAAAAGTAAAAAAGGCTTTGTTACAAATTATTTTTATCTAGTAAGATTAGGTTCTGGTAGATTTGGATTTTGGTTGTAATATACAAGTTTATTTTGATTTGAGACCAGAAAGTGCCAAAAAAGCACTAAACAGCTGTAGAAAACTGGTTTCATTTGTCATAGTGTTAAATGTTAACAAAAAAAATTTTGCTCAAAGCATTTTTCAGTTAAAGCATAAAAGGATCATTAATTTTAAATGCTAAACAAAAAATCTTGGTACTAAAATACAAAAAACATGTTTAACCTGGTAAATCTCATCAGTACTGATGTGGTTTGCCAGAATGAGCACATAATGTTACTGACTGCAAGTAATGTTTGTAGTATAATCACTGTATTAAGAGAATACCATATTTTGTACTCCAATATAGAGCAATAAGTTAAAATACATTAAAATTTAATTCACTGCATCATCATCATTGTAGAGAAAGGAAAACACTGTATATTTTATGAGTAAAGTAAAAAAAACGTATCACTAAACAGATTTAAATCACAGTAGAAATTTTACATTAATATGAATTGCTTAAGAAATTATATTTCTTATTGTTATGCAAAAATTTAGATTTCTGCATAACAAAATTATTGTTATGTAGAATTGAGATTTGACTGTATCTGGAAAAATGTTAGTTCAGAGTAGGATTTGCAGATATTGTGAAATGAACCTCATTCTGAGTCAATCTTCTTTCTAAACAGGTTCAAATTTTTATGTAAACAAAAGTTGTGCCTTATATACCATGAAATATGGTATATAAGACACTGTGAGTGTAATGGTCTGGGCTTGCATGGCCAGATGTGGTATTGGATATCTTGAAAAAAAAAGTACAACTTTTAACAATATAAGACAAAAAAAAAAACATCATGTGTGAAGTTGTAATTTCTCATAGGCTAATGAATTCCCAAATGGCCTTCAATAGTCTACAGGCAACCTCTACCTAGCCCAACTTTTGAATAAAACTGCTGTTTATTATTATTATTGTTAGAATAGATAAGCATCTTTTGCATATAATCAAGTAGAATTGCTTGTAATTGTAAATGATTCTTTTAATTTCCTCTTTTTCCCTGACGAATAAATATTCATTCTAATTTTACTCTAGATAATAAGCATAAATAAAGCATACATTCTAAATTTAAAGTGTTAAAATAAAAGATTTTTGGGGGCAGGTGGTTAAGATGTGGCTGCTTAAATACACTAAATACCTTTTCTGAACATTCTACACTGAAATCTGGATGTGACCTTGTAAAAAAATATGATATAAAAAAGTTATTGTAAAATATGATAATTATAAAATGACTATGCTATTTCTAATATCAAATTTAATTAAAGTTAATCTTAAAGTTTGTATCAAATAATCTGTTTTGATTAAATCCTCATAAATTTTAATGATTAGCTAGTCTAATCTAGATATGCTGGATGTCATCTATCACTGTCTGACTGATTTATTGTTTTGGCTAAATTTGTAATAAACAGATATAAAAACCCTCTTGGTACACACAAGGCAGAAAAAAAGTTTACAAAACATTTGTATAAATTGTGCATAAAATTGAATTAATTAAAGGAAGTGAAATAAAATCTGTAATAGTAATTAAAAATGAAAAATATACTTTAAAAAATTCTTAGAAAACACTGATCATTTATTCATTTAACACCTCTATTTATATAAATGTATAAATAATAACTATTAGAAACCTTCCTTAATATCTAAATTCTCTCTCTATATATTACTGTTAACTATGGTTGAATTCATATAACAATATGTAGATTCTGAACTTGTAGCTGATTTGTGTTATACTTATTACAAAATTTTTTAGTAGTATTTATGCACTTTGAAGTTGGTTCATATTATTTTATATTATCTTAAAAAATTGATATTCTAAATCTTAAAAATTTTTAGTGTTATTGTGTATTTATGCTTAAAACATCTTTCAATGTGAAATTCTTGAAAAATGTAAGATACATTAAAATCTAAACACTACTTATGTGGCAGATGTCACTCAAAATATTTTTATATTTCCATTCAGTAAATGTATAACAGTGTATATTTATTTGCTATTAAAGTATAATGCATCATTTATTGAAAAATGCATTTTCCAATTATTTAATAGTCTGCAAAAAAAATGCCAAAATGTAATGAATTTTGAATAAATGGTTCCAGTACAGTTGTAAATCTTTTGAAAGATGAAAATTTAGAAACCTACAATTTGGGTAATCTTTAACTATTAATTAATTAAAAGTTTATGGACCATTTATAAGATCCTAATTACCAGATATTTATCAGTTTTCAAGACACAAATTCAAAAAAGTGTGTCTAATATCAATTAAAGCATTGATTGAGTATACAGAAAATTAATAGGAGAGCATTAAAGGCAAAGTAAGAGTATACATATATTTGATGGTTTCAGGAAAAATTGTGATACAAAAGTGTGCATCACACAAAGGAAAAGCTGTTTGATAAGTTCAGTATTCCAATTTTTAATAAAAATGAAATAGATAATCCTCATCCCCTTTGAAATTGTGTTTTAAATACAGATAACCCATAGATTAACTGTACAAAAATACAGTTCATAGCTGAATACAAATAATGTTTTTAGGAAGCAAAATACTTTCTTCAATATTCAAATCAATTAGAAATTGAAAATTTTATAATTTTACAATCTTTCTGAAATATTTTTTCTTGTGTCACTTATTATATTGAAATTTTCAAGAAAATTTACATACATTAAAATATAAATTAAACTTATATTTATGATATATAATATAATACACATTAACTGAAAAATAACATACCACATGTACACCATAATTAATGTGTGCTAACACAGTAAATAAGGTTAATATCCTCAATAGAAAAATTTCTTTCTCTCCCACTTGAGGCAAACCAAATACTAAAAGCATTACAATTCCTACTGGATAAAGTAGCCAATTTGAAGCTTCACATCTTGTAGATGTCATCTGACTTATTATCAAACTACACTATAATAAGAATAAAATTTCAATAAATATAATTAAAACTAAAAAATTATAAAGTTAAAAAATTATTAATTTCATAACTTTAAATGATTTATTTTATTTCAAATATCAAATGTACTTTATTGAGTTAAGGCAAACAATTACTAAGTAGTTTGGCAGAAGGTAGCAAATTAAGCTGCCATCTTGTTAAATTTAATAATTTAATTTCACTTTAGAATATTCTAGAATAAAACATCAACCAGGACTGGGACTTGAACCAACAACACTTGCTCACTGTACAGACACATTGCCAGTTATGCTACCCAGACTGATCTACTGATCTTTGCTTCCAGATTAATTTATTAATTAATTAACTAATTTAGATATAATCATATTGCTCACTCATTATAATTTGAGTGAGCAATATGATTATATAAAATAATAATGTACAAAGTTATTGCAATTATTCTAAAGAAGCTTACAAAGTAAAAATTATTTTTTATTCATAACATTGAAGAATGTCTGAAAGATAAGAATAATTTATAGTTTGACAAAAATTTTAAATAAATATAAGGCACTCTTGAAATTTATGTTTTATTACTACAATAACTATGACTTCCTGAAAATGTTACAGATTTGGTTAAAAAGTTCCAAATAGAATGCTAAAGCATAAAATATAAATATGTACAAAAATTTTTTTGAAATTACAAAATGTTTTAAATAACTAAGATTAATATACAGGATGAGTCAAGAGTTACTCACCCTCAAAAAATCAAACTGGGTTGTGCAGAGAAAAACACTGTCATGATAAAAACTAACATTTTTTATCCCATTCCAGACTTTTAATTTTAGTCATTATATATGTTTAATTAAAAGATTTGATTTTAGTACTAAGACTGTGCTAATAGAATGTTTATGGCAACAGTCTTCATGTATGTCAATCAAACGATCCATTCTGCATTCAGCTCAAAATGTTTAAACAGAGTGGGATTATGCAATGCATGAAATTAAGCTAGAATTTTGAGAGTAATGCAATGGTCTGCACTTGTTCTCTATCTAACTTTAATCTGTGAAAAGTTATTAAGAAATTAATCTAAAAATTTCTTCTTTTCCAGGTTTGTTAAACAATGCTAAAATGCCTGTAATGTGTGAATAACAAATCCAGATCATTCTCAGGTCCGGGAGAGGAGTTCATGTAACATCTAGATCAGCAATGTCCAACCCACGGCATGCAGCCCACTCAATGTTTTTGTGTGGCCCTTTTAAAACAGTAATTATCTTGTATAGATTTTTATTGCAACGAAATATCACATGTATAGTTAAATACATTAATATGATGTATAACACCTTATCATGTACAATCAGAAATTAAAACAGTATTAAGTATTTTTTAACAAAGCTTCAAATGTATTACATATAATATATATGTAGGTACAGTACAAATTGTATATATATGTATTTAATCAGTATGTTTACAACAATAAATATTTTTAAATTGGTGTTTTGGTATAATGAAATTATTATTCCTTAAATTTACCCTATATGTGTAATAAATGTCAAACAATAAACACATTCTTAAGTTACAATGGTCTTCTGTGTTACCAATAAATGATAAGAAATTTTATTGTTTTCTTTAAATTCTTTAGAAATAAGCCTAATAAAATTTCAATTAGAATTTACACATTTACACATACTGTGAAAACCGAAAGGCCCTGGGCCTAAGTTAATAATTTTTATTAATAATGTTAAAATANCTGTGTTACCAATAAATGATAAGAAATTTTATTGTTTTCTTTAAATTCTTTAGAAATAAGCCTAATAAAATTTCAATTAGAATTTACACATTTACACATACTGTGAAAACCGAAAGGCCCTGGGCCTAAGTTAATAATTTTTATTAATAATGTTAAAATATCAACACAAAATATTACTTCATTTTGGTGAAAAACTAGTGTTTTGGACGTGGGAAAAGATAGATAACAGATGTTACTTCCTTTAAGGGAAGTCCGTACATCCTCTGTTTTCCCCTTATCCGTTAGAAATCTCGCTCAGATGGGAACTATCTACCCCTCTTTGATTCCCCTTTTCATCCGTTCACATGAACGAATTTCAAGCAGATGATTGGTCGCTGATCGTGAGATATAAGGGAAATTAGTCCGAATTCGGGGAGTTCAGCGACAGATCTGGAAGCGTCCAAACTCCACACATTTTCCTCCTGATGACCAACGCCCTTAGTCGAGTCACTTAGAATAAGTCCAGAGTCTGCACTTAGAAATTATACTTTGAATTTGTGCACATATCGATCTCGCATACGAAGAAGTAAATGAACTTTATCTCCAAAGTGTCCCTTACCTACAGAGAAGACGACGAACGACAACTAGAACAGGTTGTATGTTTTTAACGATTTTGTGAGCTCTCTCGCTCGATCGCGAATTGGGTAGAAGATAAGTATAGCTATCTCTCGATTTGTATGCTATTGGTGGTAATTCTATCTCTCGTTCATTAAAATTTTTTGTATGATTTATTTCCTTGTTTTATTAAATTTATTGTTTCGTTTTAATTAAAATGTCTCTTAATTTTGTGTCCAAATCAGATCTCATACGCGTGTTTGTCCGCGCATCGATAAATTGACAAACTGGTGTCGGGACCCTGACAAGGATCTGAACTTCACAGATTCAGATCTATTAGAGATTATCGCCCTCCTATAAGAACTTTTAAGATCGGATCTAGAGATCTGAAACTTTGGAGACAGATTTCGGTTAATCTGTGCCGAGTAAGTGATACAAACAATCCAAAACGGAGTTGTACCCCCGGCTACTCTCACACATACATATAGATTTAAAATTTCAAATCATTCCATATTTAGATTGTTAACAAGTTTAATTATGATTTACTGTGCAAGTTATTTGATATAGTCAGCCACCAAGGGGCACTTCATGTAATGGTTATGTTCTGTAGGTCATTTCAAAATCGGATGACCATTAGTTACTAGTTTTCTTAAATTTGAACTGGCAGTCATATTTATTAAAGTTATTCTGTTTAGCTATCTCTGCTAATTAAGTGGTGAAAAATGCTTAAAAAAATTTTGGAAATTGAGAGAAGAAATTTGAATTTTTATAAATGAAAAGGGCCAGAATGTTCCTAAATTATATGATGGACAGTTTTTGAATTTATGTTTCCTTACTAATATCACAATAAAATTAAACAAACTTAATAAGCAGCTTTAAGGTGAAAACAAATTGATCACAGACTGTTATCAAAATATAGAAGCATTCATAGCAAAACTCAAGTCAGTTAAAATCAAAAACTACAATTCCTTGTCCAAAATTGCATAAATGTAATAGGGTCAAAAAACACTTTCCTAAATATGCACAAGAAATTACTAATTTACTAAGAGAATTTCAAGAAAGATTTTCACATTTAAAAATTTATGAGAATATATTTAATATTTTCTTATGTCCATTTGACATTGTTGTGGAACAAGCTCCAACAAATTTGCAGATAGATTTGATAGACCTCCATTCATCTTCTGAATTGAAATATATGTTACAGGCCAATAACAAAGTTTAGTTTTATACAAAATACATCTGTAATGATACATTCTCTAACCCCAAAAAAATGTGATGAGCATTACAGCTGCAATGGGAATCACTTATCTTTGTGAATCTTTTTTCTCAAAATTGAAGATTGTTAAATGTAAGGTGTGTTTCAAATTTATAAGGACACGAAAAAATTAAAGTGAAACCTAAATTTGCTGCATTAAGTGACAAATGTTTTATTAAAAATAGCATGGATTTACTTGTTTCCACACTGCAAAATAAGAATTTTAATCAAACATTAACATTTTGTCACTGAAAATAATATTTTTTAAAATTTTGTACAAAAAAACTGTTACATATTTATCCGGACAGGCACTTATTTCATGAATTAAATAGAATATTGTTTAGTTTCAAGCATTGAAATATACAAATCAGCTTACATATCTAATTGTAATACAAATTCTTTGTGTTGTTCAACGTTTTAAAATGGGTAGAACAAAGAATTTATCTGATTAGGAAAAAGAGCAGATTGATGCCTATAAATCACAAGGCAAGTCAATAAGAGAAATTGAAGCATATGTAAATCGTCCAAAATCAACTGTTGGTGATTATTTATCAAAAAGACGTGGCTAGGATGTACCAAAATTCAAGACAGGTCCAAAACCCAAGCTTATACCTCGAGATTGAAGACAAATCATCAAGATTCGCTTCACAAAACAAACATCAGTAAGAAAAATAAAACAAGAATTAGACTTACCTTGTAGCAGCACAACAGTGTGGAGAGTTTTAAATAAATCTCTAACGTTAAAATTCAGAAAAAAAGCTATAATGCCACCACTTTCATTAAAGCACAAAAGTGACAGACTTGATTGGGCACAAAAACACATGACAATCCAAAGAATGGATTGAAGTTTTGTTCAGTGATGAAAAACAATTCATCTTAGATAGTCCAGATGGTTGAAAGTATTATTGGCACGATTTAAGAACCGAAAAACGAATATTTTCAAAACGCCAAATGGGTGGGGGATCAATAATGGTGTGGGGTGCGTTTGGATTCAATGGAACCACAGATTTAGCATTTATAACTCAAAGAATGAATTCAGAGAAGTATCAAGGCATGCTTGAAGATCATTTATTGGAAGCTGGACCAAATATTTGTGGACCAAATTGGATCTTTCAACAAGACAATGCCCCTGTGCATGCCTCTAAATCAACAAAAATGTGGTTTAAACGTAAAAATATTAATCTGATGACATGGCCTGCTAGAAGCCCTGACCTGAATCCGATGGAAAATCTTTGGGGGATGATGGTTCGTACAGTTTATGCCAATGGAAAGCAGTTTTCCACAATTCATGATTTGAAGGCAGCAATTTCAGATGCTTGGGATAAACTTAAGATTGAATTCCTTCAGAATCTAATTGAAACAATGCCTAATCGAGTATTTAATGTAATTAAGTTAAATGGTGGTTACATTGGCCATTAAATTGTAAGAAAACTTTGCAATTTGAAACCTGTCCGGATAAATATGTAACAGTTTTTTTGTATAAGAGTTTCATAAATATTATTTTCAGTGACAAAATGTTAATGTTTGATTAAAATTCTTATTTTGCAGTGTGGAAACAAGTAAATCCATGCTATTTTTAATAAAACATTTGTCACTTAATGCAGCAAATTTGGGTTTCACTTTAATTTTTTCGTGTCCATATAAATTTGAAACACACCTTAAAAGTCATAATAGATTGACCAATAAAAATTTTAAAAAACCAATTATATTGTACCTCTTGACATTTACAAGTATTTTAGCACTGTTTAACACATCTAGAAAAGAAAAACTTGGTTAGATTCATTTCTTAATAAGTTTTCACAAATTAAAGTTAGGTAGAGAACAAGTACACATCAATGCATTTCTCTCAAAATTCTAGCCACATTTCGTGTATCACATGATCCCATTCTTAAACATTTTGAGCTGATTTTACTGGATCCTTTGGTTATAAGCATAAATTTTGCTGTAGCAAAATTTATGCTTATAACTAAAGGATATATCAAGAGAACAAGTAGCAATTAAACATTTTGAGCTGAATTCAAAATGATAGCCACTTGGTTGACACATGCAAAGATGGTTATTCCTAGGCATAACATGTGTTTCTATCATGCCAAAATTTCTCCTAGCCTATTTCAGTTTGATTTTATAAGGGTGTTAAAGCAACTTTTGACTCACCCTATATTAATCAAACATGTAATAGAATTCTTTTTAAATTTAAAAAGAATTCTATCACATGTTTGATCCTGAGGATGGCTACTTAGTCAAAAACATTTGATAAATAAAAAATTGTTGCTAGAACATGTTTATATTTTATAAATTAATTTCCTAATTACAATGAATAGATTTTTTTCCTTAATAATGCACATTATTCATATATGACACTGTTTGGTACATTTTTTATAAGATTTAAAATAAAGAAAACTATATTTTATATTTGTTTAATTAAAATCAATAATAAAAGTTTATAATATAAATGATGTGTAAATAATATATTATGTTAAAATTTATTCAAGAAAATTCAAATTATTTACAATTTGAATTTATTACACAAATAAATAATTTACAAATAATAAAGTTAAAAACTCATAATAAGGTATATTACACTATTACGACATATTATTTTACTAACAGGGCATTACTTTTTAAGTAAAAAAGTTGAGTTAAAAAATCAGAAATTACTGATAAATTTTATAAATTACAATCTAGATTAAATTTAAATGTTTTTTTAAAAAGAAATTAAAACTTTAAGATAATTAGGACTATCTGTTTATTGTCTGCTGGAAATATATCTTTAATAAATAAAACAGGGTGTCCTAAAAGAATGTGATTTCAAACATTTATATTAGTTGTTGTAATTACTATACAAATCCATAAAATGTACCAATTGCTAGGCAAACTATTCAAGTTTCTTGTGTCCTTCAGAGTCCATCACTGTGTGCACGTCTTGTCACATGACACACATTTAGGTAAGAGTCTAATCTCTCTCACATATGCAACAGCATATCCATAATGATTGTAGCTACAGGAAGAGCAACAGCATGGTTGTGGAGTTTAAGATTTCTTGGCAGGGGTAGTAGATAAACAGTCCTCATTAAAAACCCTCCACAAGAAAAAAATCACACCGTGTAGTCTAGGAACCTGGGTGATCACTGGAGTAGTAGAAGATTGTGAACCCAATGTGTCCCATCCAGCAGTGAAGAAGAACAATGTTCAAGAATCTTTGAACTTCTAGATTAAAATAGGGTGGTGCTGTATCTCCTCGGAAAATGTAATTGGCAGAATTGTCAAGCAATTGAGGAAAAAGCCAATTTTCCTCAATTGAGGTAAATGGTACATGTCACTCTGTCTTCAGGGAAAAAAAAACCTCTTGAAAATGCTATTTATCAAATTACAAAATGCATTCATCTTCAGTAGGTGAATCCCATTTATGTTCAATAATAGCATATGGATTGTTGTACCGCACATGTACACATTATGACAATTTAATTTCCACTAATTTGGAATGTTGCATCATCACTTAATATAAGGCAGGAAGAAAAATTCACACCTTTCACCTCACTTTGTATATCTGTGCAAAAATTCTCTCTCTGTGTGGCTTGTCGGCAGATTGTAATATTGCTTCCAGCAACATGAACTTATAGGGCTTAATTGTCAAATGCTAGCACAAAACTCTTCACAATGTTATTTTCAGCATTTGTAACTCATGAATGTTCTTACCAACTTCTGTTGGCTCCCTAGAAGGAATGTCTGACTCTGTTGACACTGTTTTCCAAAACACAAATTCCAGACACAAACAATGTACATCCAGAAATTGTCAGTACCATTAACAATTACAGTGGAACCCCGGTTAATAAACGTAATCTGTTCCACGAGTCCGTTCGTTAATCGAATTGCTCGTTAACTGAAGCAATTTTTCCCATAGAAATTAATGCAAATACAATTAATCTGTTCTAGCTGTTGGTATTTTTGTAATTTTATTTGTAAAATGGGTTTTCTTTGATTCTTTTCAAAAAACAGGACGAACTTTTGCATCAGCCCAATATAATTTAATATCCACATGTTAAAAGCAAAAACACTATTGTAAAGTCAGACCAAAGTTCAAAGAGAAGTAAGGAAAAAACTGTACTGTAGTTGTCAAAACAAACACGACGCGAAAACGAATGACGTAACGGATCAGGTAGATCAGGTGGAATGTCTGCAGGGAAGATGAAACTCTGACAAAAGCGGTCATAAACAGTCGATCTAGGTTAAATTTTTGGAAAAGGGGAACAATTTGACAAATATAAAAACATCACATACGATCGTTAAAGTTCTAAAATGACAGATAGCAGAAACAATAGGCTAAATTATGAGCGAAAGGCTTATAGGTTTATCAACAATCTCCGATCAGAGTCGATGAACAGGTGTTAAATAAACGCCTCGGAACAAACCTTTCTCGTGACCTGATCTGGTTTTGGTTTCCACCTGGAGACAAAGAAGAAAACAATCAGGAAGCGAGGAATGGGACGCAGGACTAATTGTAAGATGAGATTCAAGGAAGAAATACTATAAAAACCCTGAATCTCAAGGTCAAAACGCAGTTTTCCTAAAAATTCTATGGTGATTAATCTGTGTCATATTCATCTGGATTAAGTCTGAAGTCGTGCCAGCTAAAATTTGTGTCTTGCGGGCTGCTCCAGTCATTGCAGCTTGACAGTCTGCGAGACACAACACAAAACACAAAAAGGACAAGATGGGTTCACTTGGTCACAGAAGCGATGGTAGGTGCTTCTGTGACCAAGCGAACCCATCTCGTCCATTCTGGGGCTACAACTGATCAGCTTGCACTATTGTAGGACCAGCGATATGCCATTCCTCAGTGCCAGGAGAAAATACTGTAGATAAGCCATTTCCAACCACCTCAAATATGTAAGAATCTTCCCGTTCTAATAAATGATTTTCACTGTAAAATACTTGTCATCTTTGTCTCCTCTGCCACCACCAATGTACGAATGGACCCTAGACCATCACCAACACATGATTAACTGATTCCCCCTAAAAGTTGGCAAGCTTACAAATTTGACACAAAAAGCCGTTAAGTTCGTTATCCGAATTTTGTTCGTTATCTAAGACAAAATTTTTGCAAAATAAAAGTTTGTTAACTGATTTGGTCATTAACCAGGACGTTCGTTAACCGGGGTTCCACTGTATTATTTTCACAGAGTAGGTCTTTGACAAATTGTCAATATAACTCACATCTAATTGAGATTATTGACTCAGACTGTGCAAAATACACCATAAAAAATGCTTTCTTTTTCTGCATTGATATTTTCATTCTCTGTACTACCAGTTAGAACTCAAGAGAAAAACATCTTACAAGAAAGAATACTCAAGTTCTTATAAAATTTCTGATGTATTTGTATATGATAACATAAGTGGAACTAAATAGAAAATTAGGTAATAGAAAATTTTGAAATACTATATTTTTTAATAAAAACACCATATAACTAATATAAAATTCATTTTTTAAAAATAATTTTCACTTTAAAAACATTGTAAGACATAATTCTCGTTTGTAAAACAGTAAATTTATATATTAAAAATGTTAACATTTTTAAAATATCAATACTTACTGCTATATTAGAGAAAACAGTTCCTGTCATCCAATAGAACATTCGTGGCTCTTTATTTATTATATCATTTGGAGAAAATAAAGCCCAAATTGTTGTTAAAATAAAAAGTAATGTAACAGGCAATAAAGGACGTAAACTTTCACTAATTGATTTTTGCTTCAATGTCTGAGTTTTATATGCACTACAAAAAATTATTATTATTATTATTAAAACATACTATTTTACAATTTAATGCCTGATTATATAAAATAATAATGTACAAAGTTATTGCAATTATTCTANACACAGTAACTGTATATGATAACATAAGTGGAACTAAATAGAAAATTAGGTAATAGAAAATTTTGAAATACTATATTTTTTCAAAGCAAAGGACATCACTGACACAAGTACTGTACCACCACTGAGCTGAAACTAATACTATCTTAAAGAAGTATCAAATTGTTTTTTTTTCTTTTTAAATTAATTTTATATATTTCTTCAAATTAAGTAGTCTCATTAATTCTTTGTGCCTCTAGGTCCTTAAATATTTCAATTTTGTTTTTATATTGTCCATGTAGACCTTGTTTAGAAATCAGGTATTATACTGGTGCAAAAGGAAAAAATTTTTTCTTATTTTTGACTAAGTTTCCTCCTTTTGCTAATTCAAAACTACACCAGTACACAGGTATCAAATATTCTATATGTATTAAATAATTTATATTTTTAATAAAATATTTACTTTATTACAGTTAAAAAAATTAACTTTTATTAATCTATATCATATACTTCAGTTTAAACATAGAAATAAGAACTTTAAAATCAACAGCAAACAAATTCAGAACAACTGGTATGTTTGAACTCCAAAATTACAATAATTTTTATTATTAAACATTTAAAATTCATTATTGATATTAAAAATTTAGAAATTAAATACTCAAAACTTACCATATATTAAAATTTCAACAAACTCCCCACTTCCAAAGTTTAAAATAGTGAATTTGAAAAATTTATATGATTTAAAATATGTTATCAAAAATGATGCTAATAATACCTGAAAAAATTAAACATCTCAGATTAATAAAATTATCAAAGAAATTTTTTCATTTAATTTTATTTTACTATATGAAAATTAGTACATATCACTCTTAAACTATGACTAAATTAATAAATAACTTAAGTATTCATAAAGTAAAATATTGAGAAACATACAATTTGTGAAATATCATATGTCCAGGGTAAATAAAGAATTCCAGTATTATATTTTTCCCAGTGGGAAAGCAGGAAACAAAAGTTGACACAACATAATACAAAGTAGACACGGAGAGGACTGCAACTGTATTCACCTCGACCAAACACTGAATATAAGCAAGTTGGCATGAACAAAGCTGCCCAACTATCTAACCCATGGTCCATCAATTCACCAAGAGGACCACTGGAATTAGTTCGGCGTGCATGTTTGCCATCTATACCATCTAAAAATAAAATGCATGTAATTAAAATTACATTTTGATTGCATAAAAAATAAAATTATTATTTGTATTTAACTTAAATATTTTCTGTCTGGAATGAATCTGATCAGTTTTAACCAATGCAAGTAACATAAAAAATGAATTAACAATTTTTATGTAAAAATTAACAATGACTTAATTTTAAAACAACAAATTTTGGGCAAAAGTTTCTCAAACAAACAATAATAAATGTACAAATAATGAATCTTGTTTGTTTCAAGGAAGACATTTTTTGCTATTAATACTTTGTGACAAAGCCCTTAACTTGAAAAATTACAGTGCATCTCCATATCATAGAACTGATAAGATAATCAATGATCATATCAATTTTAAGCCTTTCTTCTTTTAGTGCAGCTATTTAATTTGCCTTGTTTAAATAATTTTGTTTGGCCAGCATGATGGTTTAGTAGTATCAACAGACATGCTTTATTAGATTAAGATTTTAACATTTTTATCTTCAAGATATTCCTTAAGTTTTGAAAAATGTTGGAGATGGTTATCATGCCGGAATCATTCCCAAGGCATATTTTATTTTTCATAGGGCAACGTAGTCTTTTCCAAGATTTCCTTGTACTGAAATTAATCCATTTGCTCTCTACTTAAATCAATGAATCTACACAATGAGTTACGTGATATTAATTTAATCACTGCATATTTCACAGATTGTGAACAATTTAGAAGTATCTCTACTTAACAATAGTAGCAATAGATGTTTAAGAAATCATGTTTACTTCAGTTTTGTTAGCTCATTTTTTCATATACTACTATTGATTTTGTTTTTATATTGACATAGTGAAAAAAAGTTAAAAGGCAAAAATTGATTTGAGTTAATATTTTTGTACTGTTATACTGTTAAAATTTCAGAATTAGCTCAATTCTACACATTCAATACAAGTCATCAACATAATTTTTAAGGGTTATAAAACAGAAACCAAAATACTTCATAAAATACAGAATGTGACAATTTAAAAATAATAAACTGAATATATTTTTTACTTTTATTTGCTGGAAAGTTTGAATTTAGGTGTGATTTGCGAATATTACGGTTCCAGTTCAGTTTATGGTGAAGTTGTATTTACTTAATAAACTAAACTTATACATAATAATATTGTACTGCTATTCATTCTTTTTCTGATGTTCAATCCTTTTTATTTATATAGTAACATTCATAACCCAATATAATAAAGTTCCATAAACTTGATTGAATGTGGACTGAGGTGACAAGTTACTGAAAATGATAAGTTTTAAGATGCTTGTGTTAACAGAAAAGTAAGAAAAATGAGATTGTTTTAAAATGCAGGTCAAATTTGACCATCTTTTTACTGGGGGAACATGTTGTCAACTGTAACAGAATTCCACTAAATAAACAAATCTGTTTAACATACAATAACATTGCAATGATGCTAGTCTAAATAACAGAATTTTTTTAAAGGTATTATATGTACAAATTCGAACTGTATTAGCTACTTACCATTAGTGACTATTTATATTTGTAGCTAAATTTTAATTTAAAAAAATATTGACTATTTGATGACTACTTTCAAGTTACTGACATTTGCATCATGGCATTTTTCAGTGGCACTTTGAAAAAAACATTATATTCTTTGTTAATATGTGGAATTGATACTATTATCAAGTGTTGCTGGTAAGGTAAAGAACAATAACTTATTTGATCCTAGGGTTAAGTTATAGATGTAAAAATTAGATTACATGTATTTTGTTTTTGAATGACATGACTGGATTAAACATAAATAACTTTTTTACATTTAGTGGAGCACTCCCTCTGACCTGTAGCATTAAATGCTACCGAGTTGAGGTACTCCTCTTTTAATTAACCCTGCTTCGCATATGCTTTGCAGGTAAACATAAATAATATAAATAACACCTTTCCAGCAATAAAAAATGTTTAATGACAAAAATATTTTCAACTATTTTTTAAACAGCCATCTTCAGTTGAGCCAATATTAAAAAAGAACATTAAAAAATTTTTAATATTGGTTCAACTGAAGATGGCCATTTAAAAAATGGTTGAAAACGCTTTTGTCATATTAAACATTTTTTATTGCTGGATAGTTAAAGGTGTTATTTATATTATGAATGACATGAATTTTACAGAATGTTGAGTTATCAAGAGTTGAATTTCTGGCACTCTTAGTGTATTTATAATTATTAAATTTAGCATGAGATGGCAGCTCATGCTAATTTTAACTAACCACCTAACTCTTAGCCAAATGCTCAATGCTAACCACCTAACTCTTAGCCAAATTGCTGTTTCAAATTATTAATTAGTCTTAATATAGTGTGATAAAAATCCAGCAGATCACTTGGTATTCTCAACCCTCTTTTCCATCCCAACTTCTATTTTTAAATGTACTGAAGTAATAAAATTTGGAGCATAATTTTCATTAGTGCAGCTTAATAATACTTATAATCATTTCTTATTTTTATCAAATAATACATTTATCATTTTCTTTTACCTTAATCTCATTATTCTTAAATACTTTGTTAACTATTTTTATTGTATTTTATTTAATATACATTATATAATTTTTCCTTTGATTTTCTAACATTGTTTTTTTATTTTTTTTATATAATATTATTAGTTTCTTTTGTTATATTTATAAGAATTCAATATCACAAATTATACAAGTTAGTATTATTAACATTTATCTTGTAAATTTCAAAGAATAAATATCAAATTAGTCATATCTTTTATAAATATATGGAACAATTCTATCCATTGATTATCAAAGAACAAAAAGGAAAAATAAAAATAAAGAAAATAACTAATTAAGAAAAGTTAAATCTTGTTAATAGCTCATTAAAAAAGGAAAACAAGAAAGTACTTAGAATCACAATTACATCATGACAAATTTTTAATAATGATAGAATAATGATATAAAAAAATTTAATGAATTGGACAATTATATATTTGTGAAGAAAATTTTCAAAGTATAATTATAAACCAAATATTAAATATACAAGTATTTAAAAAGAATTAGTAAATATAATAAATGATACAATTTTCACTCTATACATTGTAAATATTATAAAATAACATCGCAATAATTTTTAAATTATAATTAGCATTAGTATTTAATAACAAAAATAAAGATTTATTAAAGATAATAAAAATAAAGATTTATTTTTATTTTTANCTGAAAATCTATCGGGCTAGTTTAATGCTAATTATTAAATAAATTACGTAATCAATTTGGCACTAGAGGTAAGCGTTAGGCGCCATCTCTTATTAATATTAATAATTATAAATAAATTAATTTATTTAAATAATTTAGAACCGCTGGGAGAAAAAATCAGCCCGGAGCGGGAGATGGCGCCTAACGCTTACCTCTAGTGCCAAATTGATTACGTAATTTATTTAATAATTAGCATTAAACTAGCCCGATAGATTTTCAGCATTCTGTTGGTATGTAGCTATATTGTATATCGGGTTTGGAGATGTTTGTATATTAATTAATACAGAGAAAGATTTAGAAACTATCTTTAAAACTAACAACAATAAAGTTTTATATAACAAAAATGACATTCCAGAAGTTTCCTTTAAGTTGATTTTTGATTGAAGTAAAAATTTGTAAATAATACTTTTTGTTAACATTAGTTTAATTAATACTGTTAATAATACTTACTTTTAAAAGATCTCGTATTGTTTTTAAAACACTTCGAAATAATTCACAAAAAATAAATAATTCTTAATGAAAAAAAGTGAAGATTTAAAAAAAATCAAATTGCCCAAAGGGAACATAACTCTATTCATAATGTCTGGCCAATTTAATAAATTAGTCAATATTTATCAGGTTGTGCAGCCATTTAGTCATTATTAATAATACCTAAAATAGGAATTAAAATAGAATCAAGTGATTAATAGGGCATTATTTATAATGCCCTATTAATCACTTGGTCTATAACATATACATATAACAACATGCATAACTTGATTTATACTTTAACCCCTTGACTAATGGTTAAAGTATAATTCAACTGAGAGCCTTGGAGGGCTGTGGATACCAAATCATTACAATGAGTGACCAATACAGTTATATATAACTTAATTAATTAATGAATAGCTCTAGAATCAAAGATCAAATGTAGGATTGGGTAGTATAACCAGTAACACAACTGCATGGTAAGCATGTTTGTTTGTTAAGTTATGGCAATGCAACACTTGGGTGATCTGCCTAAGGGGATGCCTTCCAGAAGATCTGTTTAAGGGTAACTGGCCCATATTCAGATGTTACAGACATAGAGAAAACTTGTAAAACTCCACTTGGCCAGCCTGTCCTGGTGAGGTGCAAACCAACAACCGAACTCCCAGTGTTCAGAGAATGGAACCGCTTGGCCACTGGTGGGCCTATGGTAAGCATGAGTTGCAGGTTTGGGACCTGCTCTGGGCCAATTATTTTCTTCTAGAGAATTCTAAATTAATTAAAATTAAAAATTTATTTATTTCTAATTATTAAATTTATCACAAAACAACATTTTAATTGCATACATCTAGCCAAACTGCTTTATTTTGGAGTATTAATTAGCCTTAATATAGCCAAACAAAAATCCTTTATATCATTTAGTATTCACTCATTTTTTACACTTGCTTTTTCTTATATTCTTTAATCACTGTTGTTAGAGATATTTGAATTAAAAATATTTATTTTTATCATAAAATAAAGTTCTTAATTTCAGAAAAAATTATTATTTGTTTTTAAGAAAAATAGTTTAAATTTCACTGAAAATGTACAATTTTACAGTTTTTTGTTTAATTTATTTTCAATAAATCCATTAAACTACAATAAATTTTTGTTTATCATCAACATGAATGCAATTGATACACTTGACTCGGCATATCATTTGTATCAAAAAAAATGTTTATGCTGCAAATATTATACATGATAGTAAAGATGCTTTATTTGTGGTTGCATACTAAAGATAAATTCCTAATATAAAAAAATAGCCTAGCTAAAACATTGCATTTTACTGTAATAATGCACAACTAACATAAAAAATGAGTTGCTTAACTTTTCTGGCAACATTAAATTTTGGTGGAACCATCTGTTATCATATTTTATTTTAAAACCTTTTATATTTTTAACTATTATAAAATGGCAAAAACTTTAATTTTGAGGGTAGGGATGGATTTTACAAGAAACTTTAAATGCTAGTAATGAATAAAATTGTCATTAAATCTGACCCTACTGGAGATACATACAATCCCCTTTATCTCCTCATCCTCTCAACCTTTAAATCATCAACATTTAATAGCATTAATCCCCCTAAAAACAAACTTCCCTGTAAACTTTCAGAAATTTTCGACAAAAAGCATTATTAAACTTCAAAGAAGTGAACAAAACTGTGTCTCACACACAAACATCTATACAGTCAACCCTCCTATAACACGGGTTCCTATAGTTCAGATTCCTATATGACAGCAAAAAAATTGCGACGGTATCCATACAAACATGGTAAAAAAACTCCTATAATTCGGTAAAACATCATTGGGCAGCCGAACTACTTTCCGCCGTCCAGCGCCACGCTACAGAGAGTTTAGGCAGGTAAATTGAGTTTACTATCGTCTATACAGTATGTAAATTAGATACCGTAAATCTAATATAGTACTGTAATTTTATACATTTCTTGTGAAAGAAACATTTCTTATTCAACGGCCATAAAAATTATTTATATTAATGATGTCTCCAAAGTTCAACGAAGTTTTCGCAGAAAAATAACTTATCAGAAATCGCGCCCGCTGTTTGGTGCGCTGCTCCGCGACGAAAACAAGCTTAAGCAATGGCGACGTCGAACGGTGCACACTCGGTAATTAATCCTACAATTTTTTGTTTATACCATAGTTTATACGGATTATTCCCAAAAAAATATACATATTTTGGAAATGTTGAGTCAAATTAGTCTAGGAACTGATTAATTTTGAAGAAAACCTTTCAAAACAGCCGTAGTCCGTAAACTTCACACGTGTTGGGCTGTGATTGGCAAAGTCTGCTAAAACATCAATTTCATAAAAAACGGAACGTATCTACCATCTTATAGGGGGGGGGGTCGACTGTACATACAGAAATTACTCCCTAATTTTTGCATTTCCCAACATTTCAAGGTCCCAAAAATGTAAAAATCTTGGGGAGTCATTTTTTGATTGATGGCCATACTTTTCCTCTATTATATATAACAGCCAAGAAAGTAAAAATGCAAATATATTGTCAATAGTATATAATGTGGCAAATATGTTAGATAATTTGTAAATTGCTTTAAGCTTGTTGAAAAATTGAACTCTTGTTTTCTTTACACTTGCCATGTCTGTTGAAATGTTATCAATATTTTGCCATATCACATTGACTCCATTATAAGAAAAGGACTATTCCAATTGGCTACTGTTACAACTTTATTTTATAATATGCATTTAAAATGGGAGATATCATATTGTTCAATTATAATGAAGCATTTTATAATGAGAAATACTAATGGTAAATTTGCTATTATCTTAAACTTCTGAAAAATATACATAATATACAGTAGAGCATCGATTATCTGAAAGTCAATCATCCGAAAGAGTTCCAGTTGGCAAATTTAAATTTTCGCTACTCAAATATTTTATGTTTTTGATACTAAATTAACTTCTGAAGTATAATTTTTTTGTTGTTTTTATATTTTTCAATATATTTATTTTGTTTGTACAAAATAAAAAAATAACTTTTAACAATACAATAGTCTTTGTTAGGCTTAACATCGACGAAAATTCAACGCAAAGCGACACGCAACAGAGAAAAATGTCAAAGATGGGATAAATTAATATATTTTTTCGTACATAATCGGTTATCTAAAACACCGATCTTCCGAACAACCCCAGTCCCCAATTGATTCGGATAATCGACGCTCTACTATATTTTTAAATGTAAATCCACATAGTTATCAAAACAAAACAAATATTGGGAAAATCAAATATATTAAATTGAAAGCTATGCAATAATACTTACTTTAACAGCTTGATTCCAAAAAGGGTGCATAACATAATTACTGAGAGGGCTTGTATCTACTGAACTGTACTGAAAATTAAAATAAAAAATGATTAAATCATCATCATCATTTAATGGGTTTTAAATCCAAATAACATATCACTGTTGATTTTAATTTTAAAAATTTAATGAGATGCATAATTAATTTATCCTTCTTGTAACTATTTAGTC